GAAGGGGGGGGGGGGGGGGGGTAATGGCAGTGCTCTGGGTATTGAAAAGCAATGTTGAATCTCAGCTTCAGAAAGTTTGAAGGCTACTGGAGTAGTGGATCCAACTTGACATACTTGCATTACTTCCACCTGTAATAGCAGTTGCTTTTAGAAAACCATTTTCTTTTTAAAGAAGGGATTTTGTTTTTCCTCTTTCCTAACTAGATCAAAAAGAAACAGCAAGAAGTAGTGGGCTTTTTAGAGGCCAACAAGATTGACTTTCAGCAAATGGACATAGCAGGTGATGAAGACAACAGGAAATGGATGAGAGAGAACGTCCCTGGTGAAAAAAAGCCTCAAAATGGAATTCCTCTCCCTCCACAGATCTTCAACGAGGAGCGGTACTGTGGGGTAAGAAGCTGTTTGGAAATTTAAATACCCTCAGAGAGTCTTTTTTCACAGAAAGTGACTCTTTTCCATTAGTGGGAAGTGTCCAACAAACTCCTTAAGGCAATTTGAGATTCACTTTGAAAGAAAAATTCTTAGAAAGCATTTTTTTTAGGCAGAGAAAAGCAATGAAACAAAAGATTATTCCTTTTTAAAAGAAAAATACACATGGAGGAAAAACTGACTAGAGAAACTCTGCTTATCAGACCGTCTGGATTATCCCCTGCAGACCCAGAGCCTGGGCAGGACCCAAAGCTCACTGTTCGTTGTCTGTGTGGAGCAATGTGTTTCCCTGCCTCCTGCTCTGTAGCTCACTCACAAGTTGTTCTGCTGTGGGATCTCTGCCTGCACTCTCGTTTCAGCTTCTGAAGACCAAAGGCAGTACTGTCTAGGTGATATTATGGTTTCTTCACACAATATCTCAGGATAACCAAATGTAGACTATAAGGACAGCTCAGCGGCACCTGGAGTAGTGAATGCTCAATTACGTGGTTTGACAATACTGAGCTATTCAAGACTAGTGGGGTTCATAGCAATGCTGATCCACTATCTCTAGCTGTGTTGCACTTTGCTTCTTGAACTTTCAGTTCATTTTGCACGGTGAGTGTTGGTGTTTTGTTTGTTGGACACAAACTCATCTGGGCTGCTAGGAAGTCAAGCAGAGGCCTGAGGCACAAGGGGCTGTGAACAGGAAGCTTTCTTTTCCATTACATTATACAAATAAATAGGAATCATAGTTGACTGGAATAATTCTAGTGCGTGGTTTGAATTATTGCTATTATATTGCTTATTCAATAAATATCCAACTCTTCATAACAGAAATTGTAACACTCATCAGATGCTGTTCTGTTTTCATACCTGCTTGTAACAGGTTATTTCTCTTGAGAGAGTTCAAATCAGTGATAGATAATACCGTACCACCATGAATATTAGGAACATGAATCAAAACAAATATCTGAGTTTGTTTATCTTTTTCTCATAGTCTGGGTGGAAATGCATAGTCTGGAAAGTACTCTGATATGATTGCTGAAATGAACTTGCAAAGTACTCTGAAATGCAGATCACGTAGTGAGCCCAGTTTTAAGTTACTCCACAAATCCAGTGTGAACTACTGCAAAGGTTGTTTTGAGAGAGAAGGGATTTACATGCCACTAAGTTTTCAGAATTAACTTCAGTGCTCTCAGAGCAAAAGTTGCTCGTATGAACAACTGAGTGCAGTTGTCTCCTCATTTTCTCATAGGAATCTTAAAAGAGAACTTGTTACGTTAGAGTTCATGTGCATTTCAACATCCAATCTACACCAATAATAAGTGTAATTTGATATATCTTACTCTGGATTTTATGGCAGACAGTTGCAATAAATATTTCTGATATTCTCTGGAGAGGTTATATAGTAAGTTAAAGAGTAATTACCTTGCAAAGTGTTGCAGCTGGTCAGCCTTGATAAATATACAGTTTTTACTTCATGTCTGAAGCTATTTCAGGACGCCAAATAATCTACATCTTGAAATTAATTTAAGTTAAGAAAGAGTTCTTTGTGAAGACACCTCCATGTGGAAAGGGGTCCAGAAAGCAATCGCAGCTACTGATTTAAAAACTAAACTAAGTTTACAATTAGTCTAAAAGTCTTCAGACTGTCAAAGCTTATAGATAATGATCCCAGTGGGTGCATAACAAAGATTAATTTATAGCATCATTATTTCCAAATAAATAAGGTGGGGAGATCCATATGAGTATGGAAGCCTTACCCTTCTTCTCAGCGGAAGGTGCCTTAAGGGAGCTGCACAGTAAATGCCTGGTGGGATTGTGTGGCCAGGGGCTGACACACTGGTGCAAAATTCCTTCAAGTGAAATGATGTCTTCTGCAACATGTCTACAATATAAAGCTGGGAATTTGCATTCTACTTCCCTGCATAACCTGTACAGGGCCAACAGACCCATCATTCTGAAATCCAGATCTGGTTTACGCTGTTTGAGGTTTACATGATATATCTCAACTCTTCCCCCGTGTCCCACTTTCTTTATCCTCAGCCACTTTATTAAAAATAGGGCTGAGAATTGGAAAGGTCTCTTTGAGCAGGAGGGTGGACTAGATGGTCTTCTGAGGTCTTTTCCTGCCTGAATTATCCTGTGGTTTTAGGGTTTTGTAAAATATGTTCTGCTCCACAGCCACTGGATGTGGGACGAGATGTAATGAGCAAAAAATGCAGGGAAGAAAGTTTAAATCAGACATCAGAAAAAAATAATGTCGTTTTCAGGAGATTGTCTCATCTCATTAAAGGTCTTTTCCAATGGATTGGAGAAACATCTGTCAGGAACAGTGTAGTGGTTCCTGCCTTGAAAAATGGTCCTTTAAGATCTCCAATGCTGCCTTCTGTGGTTCAGTGACATTTTGGAGGTGGGTGTAAGGAAAGAGGGGATACTGGGGACAGATGAGAAGGCTTTCTTTTTGTGCTGGAATAGACGGACATAATGAGCAAGTAAATGCAATCCTGTTACTAATCTTCTTTTCAGGTGATATGTAAAAGGAAAGAGGGGATACTGGGGACAGATGAGGAGGCTTTCTTTTTGTGCTGAAATAGACTGACATAATGAGCAAGTACTGTTGCTCATCTTCTTTTCAGGTGATATGTAGAAGTATCTGCATCTTCTGACTGACCCTGAAGAGCTGCTTCACTTCTTTTCCTCTTTCTTTTTTACTTGAATTGTAAAATGGAGGTTTGTTATGGATGCATTTATGAGAATACACCAACTGTGAGCAGCTTTTCTGCGAGGTCAGAGAAGCTTAAGACTGTATTATAAATAGCTTGAATCTTATTTTTCTTTCAGATCTTTGGTATTGCCACTTGAAGAAATAGATTAGAAATTGATTCATTTTGTATGCCGGGCTATAGCACCAATTTCAAGTATCCATTCTAATCCATCATTGTTGGCAATTATGTTCTTATTTGATCTTTTTCTTAAGCTGCTTCTTTGCTCATGTCTAGACAGATGTCTGCATCTGTGTCACTTTCTAAATATATTGAGCACTCTGTTGCTCTTGTCTTTGCTTTTGCTTAACAAAAAACCCTAGAAAACTAGGAAAGAAATGGAATGAAAACTTCTGGTTTTCTCTGTAAACTGAAATCTATGCTTTTCTCTATCAACTGAAATTCATAGAATAAAATACCCATGTACATCTTTTTTTAAAGAATCTCTGCATTATTAGGTAAGCCTTTTATTTGATGCTTCATATGACTGCTAAAGTCAAATATATGGAAATCTCTGTGGGTCTGTAGTCCAGCCTGCTGCGCAAAGCAGGGATAGCTAGCTTTCAAGTTAGCTTATGTTGCCTGGGGCTTTGGCCATTTGGGTTTCAAAAGTCTCCAAGGATGGTGTTTCCATGTCCTCTCTGTGTTTCCTGACCTGGTGCTGTACCACTCATGTAGGGAAGAACATTCTGCTGTCGTCCAGTTGGAGTCTGCTGTTTTGCTGTCTGGCATTTCCACAGTGGTCATACAAAAGATGGTACTGTAGAGTTTATATGTGCATATGCCCTCATATCATAAAGAAAAACTCATGGAGGTTTGGTTTTGTTTTTTTAAAAAATAGATTTCACTGTATTTTCTAAAGACTAGACCGCAACCCTTTGCCTACAATAGATTTCACTGTATTTTCTAAAGACTAGTTCCAAAGACAAATGATACCGCTACCCTTTGCCTAAACCATTTATGTCTTCTCATACAGCTATAATATTATTCCTTACCTAAAATAAATTGTTTCTGCTCATTTTTCTTATTGACTGCCTTGGAAACAGTTATCTTTGGTGATACAGTGAATGGAGCAAGCCACCGTTAGGAAAGTAAGAGTGCAAATATACAATACAAAGACTATTCCATGTTCATGGTAGTCATGCTTTTACCCCATGCTAAATAATAGCTTACTTCTCAGTTTAATCAAGGTTAAGTGACCTTCCATTTACTGTGAGATATCACATTTACTGTGGGATGTCATCATACGCTACCAGTTGCGAAGGAGTACTTGATATGATAGGAAGGATGTATCCTCTTCTGACAGGGAGTTCATATGGTCATTCACACCTCTTGCTTGTGCCCTCAGGTCTGGTTATCTACAAAGCTACGTGTCTCTGGAGGTTTTTAGTACACTTGCTATCTGCTGCTTTTCCTCTGGGAAGGAACTAACAAGACATATACAACACCAAGTCCACTTCATGGCACTTCCTTATTATAGTCTTCTCTTTGTTTCCCAGCTGTTGACATATTGTGCCATAGTTTGCTTAGGCTGTTTTACAAGGTACGCAGGAAGACACCAGTTTCCTGTGTTTGCGTGGCCTGTCAAAGGGCCATATCAAATTCCAGCCCTTTGAATTGCGGAAATTTTTTGTGTTCTTGTTTGCTGTGTTCTTCCTAAGTTTATGGGTTAGACTTCAGACACGCTGGCTTTCTTAAATACTTAGGCCAGACTTGGGTTAGATAAGAAAGAGACCCCCACATGAAAACAACGTGAAAACAGCAAGGAGGTGGTTTAAGAAATGGGTGTCCTGGAGCAGCAGCAGGTATTCTGCCTGGTCAGGGCAAAATGCGCTCTGGGGCTTCCCTAGGCTGGGCAGTTCCCACTGCCTGTAGATAGGTCTGTGCAAAAGCTCATCTGTCCCTTAGATAAATCAGTGAAATGGGCTGTCATTTATCCTGTCTGTTAAGCCATGTTGCCTCTTCCAGACTGGATTGAAATGTCATTGATTCCAGTCTTGTTGACATTAAGGTGACTTCTAAACCATCCACTCCAGCTTTTCTCTGGGATTACTCTTGACCAATAATTTAGTCTCTGGAAATACTAAAACAGCCCAGTAAAAAAAGTCAGGTCATAACCCAGCTTTACAGACAAGTCTCAGGGATGAGTCAGCACCTTATTATTTACAGGCTTCTATTTTTGGAGTTGTTTGGGATGAGAGAGAGGATGATAATATGGTCAAGACAGTAGTCTAGGATTCAGCAGACATGCGTTCAGTCGCCTGTCCTGCACAGAGCTGTAATGTGATTGTGGAGCTGTCACTTACCAATAGAGTTTCTGTTGAGATCTTAAATACTTGTTGATTTTTATCTATATAACATATGAGTTATGAACTTCCCAGTAACAAACTAGTGATCAGAGCTTCCTTATTGACAGGAAAGTTATACAGGTGAATACAGTAAAGACCATACAAGTTCTAGATGGTAGGATAGGAGCCATCCCTCATGTCTTTTCAGTTATATTAGCACTGAAGAGAAAATGAGCATTTAATGTAATGATTTATAACTTCAGTTCTCATGCAGACAAGACATTTTGGCTGGTACATATATATATGTGTCGGTGGGAACAACACAGTCCTTTGCTAAGTTTGTTTGAAAAGTAACTGCATTTTCTAACCAGAGTGCCTTTCTTTAAAATAAGCAGTTTCCTCATTATCATTTCACTCACGCTGTTGACTGTTGCCTTTCATTTGCCGTAAAGCTGTCCAGAGTTTTGAGGACCTATTTTGTGTTCTTACTCACGGCAAGCTTTATTTTAAAATTTAAATGGGAATAGCTTTGCCTTGGCGTGTGCAGCTGAGACACATTAAAATGAGACACTTAATTTTATCTCATTCTGACATAGATGTGATGTAATTAAAGTGTAAGTCTCTGGAGAGTTTTGCCCATTTGTTCGTTTTGTCAGCCAGTGTGAAACTCCCTTTGTCTGAGTTTTCTTCCTGAGGCTTAGATAATGCAGGCTCTTGTACAAATGCATAGTCATTCTCATCAATATAAGAACGTTTTGCCTGGTCTAGTCTCTTCCTCCTGTTCTTTTTATTTGGTTTTTGTTGCCAATTCTCCAATTCTCTGTTTGTTTCTTCCTTTTTTAGGATTTTGAATCCTTTTTCTCTGCTAAAGAAGAAAACATTATTTATTCATTCCTGGGCCTTGCTCCTCCTCCAGGCACAAAGGTATGCGCTGCTGTCCTTCCACAGGGGCCATTTATTTGATTTTAATAAAAGATGAAGGTAAGCAGTGACTCAGCATGTCAAATAAGGGACAGTGACAAGCATTACATTAGGTGCTAGTGCAGCAAAGCGTTCTCAAGGCAAAAAAAAACCCAGCCCTGGTCGCTTCAGTCAATATCAGAAAATAGTTCTCTCTTCCTTTCTTTTACTGAAGGCTTGTTACCATGCCTCCAGCTGATGATTTTTTGTTGTTGTTGTTGACACAAAGTGGTATTTTATCATGTTCAGCTTTTAAACGATGCAAAATTTCCTTATGCAATTTATAGGTTGTGTTAATTGCCATAAATCTTCACTTCCCCCTGACTGCTTCAAACCTTGAGCAAACAGGGTTTGTACTGGCCACACAGAGGGGCAGGGGTGAGGGCTCATTCCATCCTCTGTGTGTACACACAGACTGGCACTGTGGGGTCTGCTCTCTCTGCCTCGAGGAGACAACTTAAAGTCCCACCTAGGACTTTGTGAAGACCCTTTGGCAAGTCTACCTGTTGTTCTCCATCCACTGTATTTTCACAATGTTCTAATATATTTCTGGCAAAAGAAAAAGATATTTCTTTGGGTGTTTTTCCTTTTTGCTTTTTTTCTTTTTTTTTTTTTTCCTAGGGTTTTTGTTTTTTCTTTTTACAGAAAGCAATATGTTTTATTTTTATCAGAGTCTTCTTCTAATTAGAAGTTTTATAACAGAGAGCATTACAGCTCTCTTATCTAAAGATCATGTTAGATGATAATCATATGTTGCCATCTTTAACATGGATGATTCAGCAAAAGAAATGAATGAAGGGTGATAAGCCAGGGTGATAACAGAGAAGTCTTCTGCATTGTGCTGACCTGGCTGAAGAACTAACTGTCCTGGAGCACGAGGTCTGCTTTCTGGTCCAACTCTGCTGCCAACTGTGGAGCAACTTTGGGTGAAACACTGTTGTAAATGTCTCTGGTTTTCCTCTTCTGTAAAAGCAGAGAGAAAAATGAGCCTTTGCTAAGTGCTTTGAGAGCTACAGATGAAGAGATACCCAGGGGAGAGCCACAGTTGCTATAAATGTCTTTGACACTGAGTCCCTGTGTGATAAGGAGCAAGTGATTTAAACTTTCTGCTTTAGCTGTGCCATCTCCCATCAAGGGAAATAAAAATTACTTGCCTACCTCACAAAGGTCTTGTGAGAATTCATTTAATTAACATCCACAAAGCCATGAAAGGCTTAAAGGACTGCAGGTATTACACATTATAATCATTATTAAAAATATGTGAAGAATCAATGAGATAAAGAAAATTACATTTTTCCACCTTGCTGCTTCATATATTATCTGCTCGTTCATGTAAGGTTCTGTTCTATAGTGTGTCTATGAAGCTAAGTAACAGTTTTTTAGAATTCATTCATTCCCAGGTGTCAGCATAGGCTATTATAGTTTTTACTTTGTGACAACTTTGTAAATGTTGAAAATAATATGTCCAGTACATTCTGCTGGGCAGATAAGTGTTAATGCTATTGACAGAAAGCACGTAGAGATTACACTGATTAAATGGTGCAGTGGTGGTGGTGGTGGTGATTGTTTCAGTCCAGCGAGTGGAAATCAGTGAGAGTGTTTTTAAAAAATCCATTTAAAGAGTGGAAGTATATTTACATTGCCTCCCTTTTAGAATCGTTTGAGAAAGACATATACCAGTGTTTTAGCATTTATTGCAGAGATGTGTCTCAGCATCTTCACTGCATGACAGTCTGGCTGTGCTTTGTCATACAAATAACCTTGCTGCACTGCTTCTGCTTTCCTTTCATTAGGCTGTCAATTCAACCTTAGCATGAAGTACAATGGAGGGCTCGTGACATTGATTTCCAGCAGCACGAATCTGGAATAATAAGTCAGGTGTGGAAGAGATGGTGATGATGATGACACATATGACAGGGTTTCCTACTAATCCCTTCTTAAATAATTGTGGGGTTTTATTCCGGAATATGATGATCCTTTACAAAAGTAGGAAACCATAAAGCATGGAAAAACAGGCACTAAACAATTGCTTTCTAGGGGTTTTTACCTAACTGGGACATTACAAAAACTAATATGAAGCTGATATATGTTTTATACTCTTGCCTCGGAAGATTCTCTTTCCTATTCCATCCATCTTTTGTCTCATATTGCACCAGCAGTAGAGAAGCTTTTTAATGACCACAGCATAGTCCACTAGGATCCTGACCCAGGACTGTTTTTAGCCTATTTTCTAGAGCAAGCAAACGAATTTTTTGCTACTCCGTCAACACACTGTAACTTCCCAACAAAATTCGTGTAGTTAAGTTCATTGCCATGTCAGCCTGCAGAGTGCAAAATACATGTTTCAGTTCTGCAGATTGTCATTTTTGTAGCCCTGACTTCTCTCAGGCTCAGGTGGCTACAACTTGTCACCAGACCTACTTGTGCAGTGTTTACATTGAATGGTTGCTGCTAGGTACTGGAGCTGTGATGGTGCCAGAGCCTAATGTGCGAGCTGATCTACACTTACAGGGGGAATCTGGTATGTCTAGGACACATCAAAGTTGTCACCAAGGTGCAGATTGACTCTAAGACACATGTAAAGAAGCTCTGAGTACACACGGATATAAAGGAGATCCTTCTCAGGAAGGATCCTTTCCTATATATCAAATACATTTACATCCTTAAAGGGTGCTATGTGGCCATAAAACTCAGTGACATTACAGGATAGCAACACATGGTTTTGGTACTTCAAAAAGGGTCAGTTAGCTCACATTGTCCTCTCTCTCCAGTTTCCTCCTCATCACACTGGCTATCATGCTTTCTAAAGCATCATTTAACAGGGATGAGTAGCACAGTTTTATGTGCCTAAGAGAAGAAGCAGTTTTTTAAGTCTATTAATACGAAATAGTTTCTCACTTGAAGAAATACCTGGTCCGGAATACTTCTAAACACGTTTCATGGCAGGCTGGGATTTAGAGGACAACTGTGCTTTATGCCTTTTGACCCAAAGATCACTCAAATTAGTGAGAGTTTTCTGAATGATCCCATTTAATCTTGGATTAGTGGCATGAATGGTGATGTGCCAATAGTATACGTGTGTACCTTTGAGCTATAATCAATGTAGTTTGTATGTCTGAGGTCAGGTGTGTCAGTCTCAGCTGCCCCCAAAGTTGAGTATGTTTCTTTTTAAAGTCCTCATAACTTTTATGCTTAGTCTGAGGCTGTTCTTAATATTATTGAAATATTAGTAAGATGCGAACAGCCCATTAAAAGCTCTGGTTTTCTAAAATGGCACAGGTGAATTGTTCTGTCAATGAGATGCCTATTACTTAAACTAAGATGACAGACAGTTATGTTCTTTCTGAGTATCTTAGCAAGGTTTGAATGCAGATAGTTAATTGCTTTTAATTTTCAGGGACAATCAGGTTTTTTGAGAACTTTACTGGGGTGGGATCAGTGAAGCTGATTTACTTGAGCTGAGGGTCTGTTTTCAAATCTTTTATATACTTAAATCCTTAATCTTAGTATTCTTGGTCTTAATATTTATAATCTTGATATCCCAGCATCCATAGGTACTTGAGCTTTAGTCTTTTAGTTGGAGAAGACTTCTACTAAGACTGCTTTGAATTACAAATTTATAGTATGTTCATTTTATTAAAAGAGAAAATGACCTGTCAGCCAATTTTTATAAATGGTACTTCATTTTGAATTAGTTAAATATTAAATTTTCTGTTTCTATGGAGAGCTAGCATAATGGTGATATTCCAAACATCACAGTTCTCCATATAATTAACAAGAACTCTGTGTATGTGTGTGCGTGTGTGTTCTGGCTGATAACACGCTGCTTCTAGACTTCAATTCTTTCAGCTGCAACTTCTTTTTTGCCTTATGCTCTGAGTAAGTATATGATTCATCTGACAATAGGTTCATTTTAATTAGAATGCCATCTTCAGTCTTTATGTATTTATGTATCTGCCAAAAAATATTGAGTACATAGATTTTAAAATGAAATGTTAATATACAAGCTGAAAATAAATATCTAACCACTTTAGTTTTCATTAACACTATCCTTTTCATTTTAGGAACAGCTACAAAGAAAGTATCTGTAAGGAAGTTATCATTTGCTTAAAAAAACAATGTATTAACACAATGTTGCACAACAGAATTTAAATATATATCTATGTTACTGCATATTTTAATCTTCAAATATTTTGTTAGCTTGTAGGGGGGGAAGTAAAATATAAATTCAGCCAAACAAATGCCTCTGTAAATGTGTTTTTACTAACAATGCCACCAGTACCAGAGTGCAGTGCTCCTACATTTTATGTGTAGTTGAAATGAGACCATATTGCCAGAAAAAGAAGTAGTCTTTTCTCATTCCTCCTTTCTCTGGCACCTTCCGCTTGCTCCCAGCTGCTCATTCCTCTCCCCAAGCATCCCCCACGTGCTGGCAAAAACATTCATGCAGCTGTGTAACGGAGTGTGCAAATTGTGTGAGATAGATAGAAATGTTTTTCTTTTTAGAGCTTTAATCCTGATCAGCCTCCTGCTCCAGTTCACCATGCAGCCCTAGAAAGGCTTTTTTGCTGCCAAGAGGGCAGGGGCAGTGCAGTGCTGGGAAGGGCTGCAGGGAGGGAGATGCTTGCTGCTGATAGGTTTTTTTGCTGTTTTTCTGGGCAGAGAGGAAAAGGAACTCATGAGCCCACATGCCTACTCTCTTCTCATTGCAAGCTCCTTACATATGAAACATATTTTCCGTGATTCAGGAGAAAATTGCCAAAAAGGCACCAGATCTTACAGACAGTGAATTTTCAGGAAAAAGATAAGACTACTGAAGCATTTTGTTCATCATCACTCTGCCACGATATCTGCTTCCAAACGTTCTTAACTTTCTTTCTATCATTTTTGTCCCCATCCAGCAGAGCATCTCAGCAGGAGGGCATGTCTTATATTGTGCACCACATCATGGTGGCATTGATACTTGGCACTTGGAACTGGTGAGGCCTCACCTTGCGAACTGTGTCCAGTTTTGGGCCCCTTACCACAAAAACAGATATTGAGGTGCTGGAGTGGGTCCAGAGAAGGGCAACAAAGCTGGTGAGGGGTCTGGAGAGTAAGTCTTATGAGGAGGGGCTGAGGGAGCTGGGGGTGTTCAGCCTGGAGAAGAGGAGGCTGAGGGGAGACCTTATTGCTCTCTGCAACGACCTGAAAGCAGGTTATAGAGAGGTGGGGGTCGGTCTCTTCTTCCAAGTCACAGGCAATAGGACAAGCGGAAATGGCCTTGAGTTTTGCCAGGAGAGGTTTAGGATGGATATTAAGAAAAAAATTTAATCTGAAAGGGTTATTAAGCACTGGAACAGGCTGCCCAGGGAAGTGGCTGAGGCACCAGCCCTGGAGGTATTGAAAAGACAGGTTGACATAGAGCTTAGTGACATGGTTTAGTGATGGTTTTTTGTCAGAGTTAGGTTGATGGTTGGACTAGATGATCTTAAAGGTCCCTTCCAACCTAGACAATTCTATGATTCTGTGATTCTATGGGACAAAGATCCCTAAGTCAGCACTCACCCAAGTCTGCTCTGGAGCTAAAAGCAGCTAAAAGCCAGATAGCTATGCTAGTGTCATGCTTCTGCAGGCTCAGTACAGGCTCGGTTTTAAGAAATCATATATGATAAGAACCTTGGAGGAGGAGTTTAAAAAACAGGAGATCATGACTTGGGGCTTTTGTTTAACTGCAGAGACAAATGAAATTATGGAAAACAAGGAAAACCCAAACGAACCAGGTGGATGATTTGTTAAGGGCTTGGTCACAGGCATGAGAAAGGAGCTCGTCTTCTATCAGGGACATGCTGCTCTGCCCAAAGTGTGTAGGACTTAGGATGACACAGGAAAGGACCTCCCCTGAGCCCAGTTCTCTGTTGCTGGAGGCAGTCACACCAGATACATCTCCCAGAAGTTGTCTAATTCCCTTCTAATGAAATAGTTCCTTTGCCTCTGCTTCTCTAACTTCCAAAATTTCACACTGCTGCTAATTAGAATTGTTATTTACAACTGGTTTGTACTCATTTTGCATCTGCCTCAGTACTCTTCTTTATTCTATCCCTCCCTGATGTTTACTCTGATCTATATTTAGTGAGCCATCATATCCCCTCACAGCATTACTTTCAGTAGATTAAAGTAATGAAGTTTTTTTTGTCACCCTTTCATAAGGCAGGCTCTCCGCTCCCTCAAATATTGCTGTAGCCCCCCTCTGCACCTGTTCCAGTCTGAATTTCTCTTTCTTGAGCCTGAGTGACTGGAAGGGTACAGAGCGATCCAGAGGAGCTCTCACCTTGGCCTTTTACAATGACATTAATATTCACTTTCAGCTGCACCAGCTATACCTCACCTCATACGTCTGAGGATCACATTTATTACTTCGTTCACTGTCGCATCACATTTGTGGCTCAGTTATTCTGTGGTTATTTAAATACATCCATCTTTTTCTTCTTTGTTGATCGCCAACTAACAAGCTCTCAAGCTGCAAGAGAAACATCTGTTTCTGATCTTTGGCCCAGAACTACCTGTCCCAAATAATGTGACTTTGCACTTCATGCTATTGCATTCCATTCTATTTCTGTTGTTCCACTTGAGGCCATACAGGTCTCCTTTTATCTGACACAGTGTGTGATCCAGTGTGACCTTTCACGGCTACCTAGCTGAAAGTACAACAGGACTTACAATAAAGAGCCTTCTAGGAGGTTCAAGGTGCTGGAATAAATAGATTTGATAGATTGGTGTGTGAATGGATGAACAGTTTCCTGATGATTTTAAACAAGAAAGTTAAGAGACTACATGTGAAATCCTTTATTACTTCTGTTTTTCTGTAGCTTCTTGATAAAGTTTAATTGGAATGCATGCTGGTGAAAAAGGCTTTCTTTCTGAAGCTAGAATGTGTCATCAGGGTGAGCATCGGTTTCTATTAAATTTTCCACAGAAAAGTTAGAGAATCTACGATGCTCTGCAGAGGAGGAAGTGCTTGAATTCATGTTTTCCCTACACAAATCCCATGCCTTTACCAACAGATCAACATGCCAACAAGTGTTCCTTTCACAGGAAAGTGTCCAAAAAGGTATATTTTCATTTGAATGCTGAAGCAAAATTAGAAGAACACCTCCCAAATCTGTAAAGTTTAGAGTTATATAGAAATTAATTATTAGTTACGTGCCCTGAAGCTAACAATTACTTCTCCTTTGCTGCCAGGAGAGTGAAAAGTCTGATGCCACAGACGAAACTGAGGCACACACAGAAGACAAGGCAGATGAAGGGGCTCCTGAAGAGGCTCAGTCTGCTCAGTCACCATCAGAAGATCAGCAGGTAATTTTCCTTTTACTTTTTGTGATATGAGGGTTTTATCTGTGCTGAGTGCATGAAACAAACGCACAGGGTGGTAAGACTGATTGCAGGGTGGTCCTGCTTGTCTTTTGGATGCATTTTCTTTGACATAATGGGGATACGAAACTAGATCAAACTCCAGGGAACTTTGCTCTGAGTCTTAAATAACAGCAGTTGTCTTTATATAACAGTTTCCTTTTACCACTTGTTATCATAAGCTTTTTTTTTTTTTTTAATGCTCATTTGGAACCAGACTCTAGTTATGGAGAATAATTTAGGACTAGACATCTGAGTCCTATCTGTGTGGAAAAATTTGCTGCTATCAATGGCCAGCATCTGCAGTGCTCGTAAATCTAGTCGTTAATGTTTGTTGTCACGTACCAGCATCGACTGCTGTTGCAGCAAGCCAGATCTGCACAATGTCTTCTCCAGGCCATGCAGAAACCCCTGGGCAGTGCAGAAATGGAGACTGCTGTTATACTTTCTGCCTGCATTATGGTCCGATATTACAGTCACATGGGCAGATCTCAAACTGCAGTGCTAAAGGTTCTTGGAGGAAGCCATCTGAGTTCCTTCAGTTCCCTAGTATGATATCCCGCAGTTAGCTAACATCAGTAAAGTACAGGTAGTTGAGAGTTAGATGAATTCCACAAAAAGGAACCATTCTGTTGTGTGACGGTGTCTTCCTCAGTGGGGTGTGTAAGTACTGTCCATGTTCTAGACCCAGTAGGGACTAAGCAGAAATGGATCCCATATCTGGAAATAAGGATCCAGCTGCTTTATTTCTGCTGCTCTGACATTTTGGCATTTAAGGATGGGTTTATTTTGATGTTGCAGTGACAGGTGACTCTCTTCCCAAAGAGGCAGGCCTACTGCTGGATCGAGCACTTATACTTGATGTTTTTTTTGTGGTTTGGAGATCAGACAGTCCCAGTGGAATATCTGTCACAAATGCATCATCTCTTTCACTAAAGACCAAAACAAATGTGTTTTGGTGGTTTTTGTTTGTTGTTTTTTTTTCTATCTAGCTGCAATGTTTTTCCAAAGGAAGCACCCCTCTTTAAGCTTTTCCCCATTAGCCTTAGTCATTGTTAGGCTGGAAGAGTACCCTTTTACACAGCCTCATGCAAGTCTCAGGCCCTGGAAAGTCCCATTTAAAATTTCAAAATGTCAATGAGGACAGACAGTCCTCAGTGGGAACTGAAATTTCTCGTTAAATTATATCCAAGTGCTTTCTATGTCTCTGTGAATTTCAGCAGGCACGTGAGTGCCACCCAATACCTTTTTCCTCGGCTCTTAAGAGAAGCACAGCATAAAACTGCAGTGCATCCCCTGGCTGGATTAGGTTACTTGCCATTCTGGCTGGCAGTCTACTCTAATGTTTTTCAAATGAGAACAGAATGCTGGAACACGTCTGCAAATGTGTCAAGCAGCTGTGTATGAGAGGTTTTGCGATGGCATAATGCAATACCTCCCCTATACAACAAGCACCTTGCTCCATTTCTCACAGAATGGACTGGAGCTGTAAGTGGAAAATATATGTGCCTTTAGTTTTACAGGGAAGGGAGTGGCAGAGGAGGGAGCACCAGACAAGACAGTGTGTTTGAACAGATCTTTCTGTGTTTATGAGGGCATAAAGTCTTAGACTTACAAATCCTCCCCCTTCACCTGCACAGTCTTGGCAATGTCAAAATGTTCTTACATAAGGAGGAGGAAAAGTCTTTTGGAAATTGCCCAACTCTGATACCCACTTCACCGAAAGGGTTATCCAGCATTGGAATAGGCTGCCCAGGGAAGTGGTTGAGGCACCATTCCTGATGGTGTTCAAAAGACAGGTAGACATGGTCCTCAGGAATATGGTTTAGTAATTTTTATTTCCTATTTCTTATTTATTTTTTTATCAGAGTTAGGTTGATGGTTGGACTAGATGATCTTTAAGGTCCCTTCCAACCTAGATTCTATGATTCTATGATCCTGCCAGGTATATATTAGCTCCTAGAGGAAGAAAAAAAAAACCTGTTTCTGTTCCCGTCTCACCACTGCAGGCAGGCAGGTATCAGGGACTTGTGCCGGGGACACACAAAAACCAATTTCCACCCTGTTCCACCACCCACTTCCCATGTCACCTTGGACAAATCAGTTCAGTGCATGGCATCTGTCCACCTTGCCATAGTTCATCCTAATTATCACTTCTGTTATGATGGCATGAATCATCTGTAGAAATTCTGGTATTCTCTTTCACTACAAACAGCACACAGAGGATGAGTTTAGATGAGAAGAATAACTTTGAGGCAGCTACAATGAGATGAATTCAGCCTTTTGTCTGTATCCCATTCTACCCTTATGAAAGAAAGCCAGAATAATGTTTCCTTACCTGGCCAGGGTTTTATGAACTTAAATACATTTAAAGACTGTCAGATTGCTATTGGAGTGTCCTCGCTGGATGTTAGGTTCTAAAGGATACCTGTAGTATCAACACAGCATTTTCACTGTTTCCCTCTCTTACTCTCATTCTGCAGCACAGCACATCTTGTTTGGCTGCTTGACCACACTGAGTAGATGTTTTCTGTGTGCTCTCCCCACCCATGTCTTTTATTCCTTCTAACTTACTAAGAGCTGGTCTCTGTATACTGAGTTCTGAAAGGGTGACTTTTTATTAGTAGCCCACTGTGTTTTGCAGCCAAACAGCTGCATCTTTTCAACAGTAGTCAGGTGTCCTGCCCCTCGTCCTCCCTTACTCTTTTGACAAATGCTCAAATCAAAATACCATAATTTAAACATCACAGTTTTGTGTTCTGCTTCTGAATTATTATACCATTGGGAATCTAGTATTAGCATTTTCTCTAGGCAAGCGAAAGCCCAGGCAGAACTAAATCTAGCCAAGAACATCAAAGACAATAAGAAAAACGTCTGCAGATATGTCAGGGACAAAGGCAAGACTAGGGAAGTTGTGGGCCCTCTCTGGAAGGAAACGGGAGACCTGGCCACCCAGGATATGGATAAGGCTGAGCTACTGAACAGCTTCTTTGCCTCAGTCTTCACTGGCAAGGGCTCAAACCACCCAGAAAGCCAACCATATCCTGGGCTGCATCAAGAGAAGTGTGGCCAGCAGGTCACAGGTGGTGGTTCTGCCACTTTGCTCTGGTGAGACCCCACCTGGAGTACTGTGTCCAGCTCTGGAGTCCTCAACACAGGAAGGACATGGATCTGCTGGAACAGGTCTAGCAGAGGGCCAGGAAGGTGATCAGAGGGCTGGAGCCCCTCTCCTATGAGGACAGGCTGAGAGAGCTGGGGTTGTTCAGCCTGGACAAGAGAAAGCTCCGGGGAGACCTTATAGCGGCCTTTCAATATCTGAAGGGAGCCTATAGAAGAGCTGGAGAGGGACCCTTTCTCAGGAAGTGTAGTGACAGGACAAGGGGTAATGGTTTTAAATTGGAAGGAGGGAGATTTAGATTAGATACTAGAAAGAAATGCTTTACTATGAGAGTAGTGAGGCACTGGAACAGGTTGCCCAGGGAAGTTGTGGATGCCCCATCCCTGGAGGTGTTCACGGCCAGGCTGGATGGGGCTTTGAGCAACCTACTCTACTGGGAGGTGTCCCTGCCCACGGCAGGGGTGTTGGAACTCAATGGTCTTTAAGGTCCCTTCCAACCCAAACCATTCTATGATTCTATGATTCTGTAATTCTATGATTTTGGTCTTACTTAGTACTCAGTTTCAAACCAGCTTAAATATGACTCTCTCATGTGGGGTGTAACCCCGCTGGCTTTTCTGCAGTGACTTTGCAGGAGAAATGCCAGTGCTATGGAAAAGTTCTAGAAGACAGATAAAAAAATAATCTGTGACTGTCTCAAATGTGGAACTGCATGGAGGGTCCCAGATTTCAGAAGGCTTCTTCAATGCCTCAGTAGCAGGAATGGCTGTCGACGTTCAATGTAGGTGCGTGTGGAGGCTGCAGCCCTCCCCTACTGCTTCTGCTGCCCTTCCTGGGAAATGCAGTAGTCCAGAAGATCCAGCTTTTTATCTCAGGCTGGTATGACCCTGAAGAAACCAGCAAGAGACCCCAACACTCTGAAAAAACAAAACTCTTGGGTCCGCAGCTGCCTCCTGAAATTGGCAGGAATAAGTGTGCAGGGCGACAGTTTGTTCTTCACACACCTCATATTAGAGTGCCTGAGCTTCAGCAACTCCAGCCCCTCATTCACAGGAGCATTGAGGAAAGGCTGGAGAAGATGTTGCAATATGAAGTCCCTTACACACACCCAGCAGTCAGTAAGAGGAACAGCTTTCAGCCTGGGTCACCGAGGGACAGCTGCACTAGGATTTCTTCAGATTATGAATTTTTTTTCCACCTTAAACCTGTTGCATACTTTCCTACCCTAATCACTTCATCAAGCTTATCCTTGGCTTCTTCCTAATCTTTTTTTCATACTTAATCTCTGATCAGGAAGGTTGAGGAACCATTTTGTCTGGATACAGTTTCCCTTTTTCTTCTGTTGTCTGTCCCTTGGTTTTTGAGATTTTTATGGAAATGACTGTGACCTCTTATGCACACAGCACAGCAAGGGCTCTGCTGGTCACTGGATGTGATGGTAATAATTTTTCTTTATTCTTACTGTCTGATTTTAACTTTAGATTTTAGCTTGGGGGTTAGAATATTTTTTAAGTGGTGTCCCATTTAAATCAGTTTGCAGTACAGATTAGGCTTACTTCAGGGCAGAATTATTTTAGAAACATGGTCAAAAATTATATTATAATGCAAGTCTGTATCCTGTCTCAGCAATTCCCTGGGTCATACATAAACCCTGGCACTGCAGCTCACTTCCTTATCTCAACTCATTCTAAGCAAACTTTTATCAACCGCTCACGCCTTCTGCATGGTACTATTCCCTTTCTCTTTGGGATTTTGTGTAAGATTAGCTCTTCTCTCCAATAACCAGCTTGGTATCTAAAATTAAATTCTATTCACTGTACATTTATATTTTTTCTCTTTTATCTCTCTTCTCTTCATCACTTTTGCTCTATCTACAGTCTAAAGCCAACTTGTATTATTTCTTATTCCTCGGTACTGTTGAGCCAAGGCATCTGTTCCAGCCTACAACAGTTAACAGAATTGCAAGCCAGATTCTGAGTGATGATATATAACATAGATAAGATTCTGTATAATTCTCATCTAACTTTCATTTTGCAGACCAGCAAATTACCAAAAAAACCCAAAATGAAACCCACCTGAAAAAGCAAACAAAACCCCAGCTCTAATGCCTTGCTTGTCAATGAAGCAGATTTGATTGGAAGTAACTGGGAAAAAGGGAGCTGTATTTAATGATTTTATATCCCTTTTTCAAAGTAAAAGCTTAGCTTAAATGTGCTTTGTGAGTTAATCTGGAGGACATTATCTCAAAATAAATCCACTGAATTGCACATAATTTTCCTAAATTCAAGTGCTTAATTTCTGCTGTGTTTTGTCTGTATGACCTTTGATATTCTTTCTTTGGTCTACCTTTTGAACATTTTCTTTTGTATCTCTTATCTAGGAAAGCAAGAAAGAACATGCAGCATCAGGGGTATAGTATATTTGGACATTTTGCTTTCAGCTTTTGTTTGTGTGCATTTAATTCCTTGTCAGTCTCATTGCTTCACTCAAAAGTTAGTAAATTCTTATTCATGAAACTAAATATACTACTGTTATATTTGGATAGAGATAATTATTGGTCATATCATAGCATTATTGTTTGGGAACAAAGATAAGCCTTTAATTATTGAAAACTGTAAATGGAAGAGAAATTGTCTTTCACAGATTCTTTAAGAAAATTTGCCAAGGACTCCCAAGACAACTAAATCTCTGACAATTGCTAACTGACACCATGCTGATTACATTTTCAGTGCTGTGACTGCGTGTCATTCTGACAATTTAGGCAGTTCTGCCTATAAATGCAATATTTTGTTCGCCAGAATTTGTAAGACCCAGGTGCAAATCCTTATACACTTTTCTGCTTTGCCCAGCATTGCAAGTTTATACCTTGAATTTTTCTTCAGTGTTCCCAGTAAAACTAATGATTACTTTAGGCTATTTTCCACTGTGAACCTGCAATTAATAAGAGGACATGTTCATATCTTCCCACTTCTAAACTGCAATACATGCATGTATACACATGTACACTTACTTACACATCCCTGCTGTCAGAATTATGTATTGTGGCCCTGGCAGCTGAAATGGAGCTCAAGTGTGAAATGGAGCTCAAGCCCAAGTGTGAGGGCTCCTGTTGAGGCTGGCAAGGGCTATTAAGGCTGTTTAGTGCACCCTGCCACCACTAGCTAATTCTTCAAGCAGGGAAAATACCATTTTTTTTTCTGTAAAAGATAACGGACTTGAATCTTGAACTGAAGGTGCTAGTATCTGAAAGATGTTGCTTGTCTGTGGACTTGCCTGGCCCTGTTTCAAAGAGAAAGGCATCTTTCCTGGGGGAAGATGCTGAAAGAAGCAATATTCCTTTGGCACAAGAACTTCTAATCCCCCTGACCTGTGCGGACATTGATGTTACATTTCTGGTAATAATCAGAATCTACATTCATTGCAGGAATGATCCCTTAGTGCAATGGTTTTCCCTGAAAAATAATGATTCAAACCACAAATCTGATTACAAAAGGTCCATTCCCAAGCACATGCTGAAACAGGATGTGGCTTTCATACAGACAGTATCTATGTCTGAGATGAAAACCGAAGGTCTGTGCTGCTCATATACTGCCTGCAGTCCTGATGAGTACTGATTAAGTATTCTTTGATTGGTTGATTACTCCAGGAGGAAATTCCCATAATTTTTCTAGTCTAAGTAATGTATGAAGGTATGACATTTTGAGATAAAGCTTGTTTATACACACAGGAGTGCCTTTCAGCAAGCGTTTGCTGGAAGAAAAGGAGCAGAGAAGCCTACAATGCAATTTTCAGTTGTTTTTCAGAGTGGGCTACATTTTAAAGCTTCATTTACTAGCTCTTAAAAAAAAAGCATACACAGATTGTTGTCTGTGTTACATAAATGTTAGCTTTCAGATAACTTCGTTTGGTTGACTGAAGCAAAGGGCTACTGCCTTTAAATTGTGCTATTTCTCCTATATGAAGAGAGAAATAAGAACTTTTGAAATAACAACAAGGCTGTATTATCTGACTCGGAATGATTTTTAGATTATTCAGGAGTCTAGTTCATGTGCCATGAATCTTGACTTGTTTACTGCTCCAAGAAAGCTTATAATTAAAAATGCTGACCTTTTTTTCATTTTCACTTATATTTCACATTCTCTTTTGTTCTTGAACATCTGTTTACAGCTTAACCATGCACTGTGTTCTAACCTCTGTAAGAAGAGGGTTCTTACATTCCAGCAGTTGCCTATTAACTCCACAAAGTTAGAGCCCTGTCATGTTCAGATTAAAAAATACTTCTGTGTTCTATTTTTGTAAGCTCAAATAATATTACATTTACTAGAAACAGAAGAGTTGCAAAGGCAGAGGTCTGCATTTAAAGACTATTTATTTTTCCTTCAATTCCTACTTGAATTAACTACAACTATTTTCTATAAAAAAGGAAGAAGAAGAAAAGCAGGAAGAAGGAGAAGAAAAGCAGGAAGAGGGAGAAGAAAAGCAGGAAGAGGGAGAAGAAAAGGAAGAGGTGGAGGAGCAAGAGGAGTCTTAGTACACTTCCCTATGACACATTCTTTCTTGAACAGGTTTTCAGGTAACTACTAAGATATCTAGCACAGTTTCTAAATGTTCATAAAGTAACATAAACTTGAAAATTTTGTACATATTATTGTTATACGCTGGACCAAAAGTACACTTAACTCTCAGACTCATTGCAGCTTCTCTTTTATCTGGGGGAAGAATTCCCCATATATCTCTTCTGCAGCTTCTCTTTTATCTGGGGGAAGAATTCATCCATCTTCTCTCTTTCTCAGCTACTGATTTCACTGCAACTTTTAGGAACTTCATGTCTCAAATGAAGCCCTCTCTCAAATTTAGTTGAAATGTTAAAAAAAACACACAAACACTACTAGAGAAGGCAGAGGAGCCTGACCAGAAATAAGACAGGCTATAAAATTACTCTTATTGCCTTAGAAACTAAACCAAACATGACTTTAAAACCTCAAAACAGGAAGTATCTGGGAGGGAGAATTTGTGCCTGGAAATATGTATCAGCATTCAGTATTGCTCAAGTTTTGTCTGCACAAGGTTTCAAATTTAATTTTCAGGTTTTCTTCTTCCTCCTACTGTCTCTTCTCCTCTGCACAGAAATAAAGATCAGAGAATAACTTAATAGGGAAAAACTGTTAACCTACAAGAAAGTTGGAGTTTCCAGCAGATTTTCCCTTAGGTGGCAGGACTCCCTCCCAACTGCAGACACGAAGTGTGACACGCTCTTTCTAGTGGGATTCCCAGCTAATTCTGCCTCTGAGGTAGTTGTCATTGGTTTCACCAACTGTACATTGATGTGGAGACCCAGTGCCTCGACAGGACAAAAAACCCGTCACTTCTTTCACGCTACCTCTCCCAAATCTGGGTTCCTCTGTTGCATGGGAATGAATTTATCCCAGTGCTGTCCAGTGTTCAGACATGTAAAATCACAGGAGGAGTGCTAAGTTCTGATCTGATTTTCCTTATTTTCAGGAAGCACAAGCTGGAGCAGCCCCACCAAAGAAAATAAAATCAGTCTTTCAAGCAAGCCATCGCTACCTTTCATGCCTGTAGACTTATGAACATATAAATACATAACAGAACAAAGACACCACTCTGTCCTACCTGCGGCCTTTATATATATATTTGGTATAACAGTTTCTTGTTAAAATGGGTCTTCTTATATCTGACTGATGATATTTCAGTTGATTGTTATATGTTGGAATAGTATCGTCCATGTCACATTTTAGATTGCAAGCTCTCAGGGCAGGAACCATGTCTTTCTCCATGTTTATGTACTGCCAGACACATTGCTGCCACTCAGCAGATAACTGCACTCGCTCAAGTGACGTGTTCAGAGAAAAAGAAATTCAGCACTGAAAACTGCAAAGCGGCTTCCTGAATACAAGCTATGATGTGAGTCACTTCTCCCTCAGCTGGCTTTTGAAAATGATTGAGATTTCCATTGTGCAGCAGTTTAAATAAATGAGTTTTCTGTCATATCTGTTCTTTGTCTGCAAAAGCATTAATTTAACCCTAGCAAGCTGCGCTAAGATCTGTAAAGTATAGCTTTCTCCATCATTACACTTGTAGGCTATGCAAAGTCCTTCACCTTGCCTTACATTCCTGCTGATGTTTCTGGTGCTCTGTGGAAGACCCCAGCCACAAGGATACACAGTCTTCATTGCAGGAAAGAGGTGTCCCAGTCCCTTCTACTGAAGCCTTGTCAGTCTTCATGGATATGTCTCTATTCAGTGGGCCAGGGAGGCAGAGAAAATTAATCCATGTTCATGCTGTAACTTGATTACAGTTAACCTTACTTTTTATGAGATTTATAAAAACTTCAAGTGACGTGTTCAGAGAAAAAGAAATTCAGCACTGAAAACTGCAAAGCGGCTTCCTGAATACAAGCTATGATGTGAGTCACTTCTCCCTCAGCTGGCTTTTGAAAATGATTGAGATTTCCATTGTGCAGCAGTTTAAATAAATGAGTTTTCTGTCATATCTGTTCTTTGTCTGCAAAAGCATTAATTTAACCCTAGCAAGCTGCGCTAAGATCTGTAAAGTATAGCTTTCTCCATCATTACACTTGTAGGCTATGCAAAGTCCTTCACCTTGCCTTACATTCCTGCTGACGTTTCTGGTGCTGTGTGAAAGACCCCAGCCACAAGGATACACAATCTTCATGGAAGGAAAGAGGTGTCCCAGTCCCTTCTACTGAAGCCTTGTCAGTCTTCATGGATATGTCTCTATTCAGTGGGCCAGGGAGGCAGAGAAAATTAATCCATGTTCATGCTGTAACTTGATTACAGTTAACCTTACTTTTTATGAGATTTATAAAAACTGCTTATAGAGGAAGGGTGGGGATGAGAAATGCTTATTGCCAAAGTAGTCCATAGCTTCAAAACAATATCCAAAGGAACTCTGAATTTATGTTTAACTCTGGTCAAGAAGAGGCTGAATTTTCAAGGTGAAATCTATACTGTGAGTGCTTGAACAATGTCTGAACAAACAAAATGGACAAAAAATTTGTGGAGGCTTCCTGACTATCCTGGGTGGGTACATTTTTATGTTCATCAAAAGTTGCCGTTGTTGTGAGGGGATGGATGGGGAAGCAGTGCTCTCACTCTGGGCTGCTTTTACACTCGTAAGTGATGCTGAGCTCAGAGCTGGCAGCTCCAGCTGAGGGAAAGACCTTGGAGTTCTCACAGCTCACCAAAATCATCACCTTAACATGCAGCAGTGACCAAGACCCAGAAAAATGCCAAGCACCATCAGGAGGACAGCATGACTTTGCTGCCATATAAAGCCTTGGTGAGTTCACGTCTTGAGCACTTTTGCTGTCTGGTCTCTGCATCTTAGGGAAGACGTAGTGGCATAGGAAGAGCTACAGAGAAAATAACAATTAGACAGGGTGAAACAGCTGCTCCATGAGAGAGAAAAGACTCCCATGCGGGAAACTGAAAAGACTCTTCAATTTGCAGAGGAAGCCAAGGCATTTACAAAAATCATAAAGGCAGTGAATACGATGAATGCAGAACTGTTTGTCAAAAAATCCTGCAACACTGTAATGAAAATTAGTATACACAGTTTGTATGAACAACGAAATTAGTAGATCAGCTTAAGAGAGATAAAAGAGTACTTTTTTATATGGTGGGTCAGGAACTTCTGGAATTTGTTGTCACAGGATGTTATGGAGTCTGACAACGTCAACAGGCCCAAGAAGCTGTTGGGCAATGTCAGGACCAGGAGGCTTGTAAGTAGATATTACAGCCTGGGATGTGTCCACCAATATCCCGAATTCAATGAACGTGGATGCTGGGGACTGAGGGCAGAAGAAATTGAATACAGTGGATTTACTGTCCCTAAAAGGCATTGTCCATTTCCACTTTCAAAGACTGAATACCAGGTTAGGTGAGCATCATGATTTAACCCCAGCTGGCAACTAGAAACACACAGCTGCTTTCTCACTCTTCCTCCTCCCCAGTGGGATGAGAAGAAGAATCAAAAAACCAAGGAAAATTCCTGGGTTGAGATACAGACAGTTTGATAAGTAAAGGAAAAGCCATGCACACAAGCAAAGCAAAACAAGGAATTAATTCCCTGCTTCCCATGGGCAGGCAGGTGTTCAGCCATCTCCAGGAAAGCAGGGCCCCATCACGTGAAATAGTACTTGGGAAGACAAAACCCCGTTAACTCTGAACATCTCCCCCTTCCTTCTTCTTCCCCAGCTTTATATACTGAGAATGATGTCACATGGTACGGAATAGCTGTCCCTGCTGTGTTTCCTCTCAACTTTTTGTACACTCCTAGTGCACTTGCTGATGGAGCGGTGTGAGGGGCAGAAAAGTCCTTGACTGCTCAGCAACAGCTAAAACCATTAGTGCATTATCAACATGATTCTCACCCTAAATCCAAAACACGGCACTACACCAGCTGCTACTAAGTCAACTCCATCCCAGTTGAAACCACGGCAGTGAGCTGCTACTAAGTCAGCTCCATCCCATTTGAAACCATGGCAGTGAGCCACTGATCAGACCATTTCTCATGTTCCTGCAGGTGACTACTCCTCCTGGGGAAAATGTTCCCCATCTTGCTGGCAGCTGAATTGAAGTGCCAGTCATCGCGTCAGTAGTTTTGAGCAAAAGGCTGGATTTTTGGGGGTTTGGTAGACAAAATGAAAACATAACGGTTAATCACTCTGGAAATGTGTTTATGGTAGCCTTGATGTATTCCTGGGCTGCCTGAGCTTTGCACGGCTGGTGAGAAATGGGCTCCACTTTTTCCCCTGCTGATGTGTGGAGCAAAGAGCCTGAGCGTACTCGGTACATCAGGCTTTGGAAGAAAACCACCACACTTTGTTGCTTGTTAGGGCAGAAATATGGCAACCAGCTTCTCGAGAGGGCCTAATCTGGAAAGCCTGCCAGGGAATGTGAGGAATGCTGAGCCTCCCGTACAAGAGTGACGCACTCCCCTGGTCTTCAGCTGGTGACTGAGGTTTTGCTCAGCGTGTGGTGAAAAAGCAAACGGGAGAGCGGAGGGTGGTACTCACAGCCCAGCTCGGTGGCGCCTTCCTTGGGATAGCCCTCGTTGTCATGTGGTGAGCATCTTCTCTGCCAGACGAAAAGGAGGTTGTGAGTATGCAAAGGATAAATGGAAAGCTGACCGCTGCTCGGTGGTTTTAGCCATAACGCTAATTCTGCTTACATAAGCTTAATACTTTCTGCAGCAATTTAGTGCGACCAGGCTAAGAATTAAGTCGTTTCTAACTACAGCTGAATGAAAAATCTGTAGCACAAATTGGTGAGCTATTGGCTTAAATGCATCTGAAAACATACTGCCTGCATTTTTATATCATTCATATTTTACTGGGAGAAAGCAACTGCAGTTTAACAGGGTCTACCCAGTACATGGTGTTTCACATGCTTCAGGGAACTGTGGATGCAAAATCATTCCAGTGCCCCCCAAGTTAAACACATAACAGGACACTGCTTTCTATGACACTTTGGTATGTAAAGTATTTTCCCCGGCTGATTGATCTAGAAACTTCTAATATACTGAAACAGGCTAAAATTAGAAAGGCGTCAAGCTTCCTACAGACCGATGTATGTCATAGGATTGTGGCTGTTTGCACTTCAAAACTGTCAATTGTCAAGTTTAACAGACTGCTGAAGTGTAAAAGAAGTGACTACAAGCATCATTGCAAAGCAACTAAGTAGATAGGGCTAGACAATGGCTTATTTTCTAGGAAAATAAATATTAGGAGCTTCATTCTGTTGCTAGTAATGCAGAGTTCTGAATAACAGGTCCTGAAGGCAACCTGGGCTATGTTTTCTCTTGCATGAAAGCACTTTTGAGCCAATAAATTTTGTAAGAGGTTTTCTTCTGAGAAAACTCTAAGGGAAATTCATGGAAGAGAAATTTAAATGTTCAGTAGTTTTGTCAGTAGAGCACTACCCACCCCCGTCAGTGTTTCTGGTCACTTTTCCAGCCACCACATCTGTTCGCCTGCCTTCCAAATAATAACACTTGCTAAAAGTCTTACTGCAAGAGTATCAGTGTTAATGGAGATAAACTGTTTATCTGCATCTTTTGACAACTTCAGAAGGTTAGAAGTACACTTGACAAACAACCGGGGCAGCTGAAAATTCAAGATAGTAATTTCTTCAGAGGCAGACTGGAAGTTTGGGGTTTGATGTCAAATATCGTGACGAATGCTTGGTGTTTCTCCAGTTGCGAAGTCATTGCCATGCGTAAAGCAAACAGAGGAAACAACAGCTCTCAGCTGGGACTCTATGAGTTACTGTCTCTATTGTGCTTATGGGGAAGTGAGGTACAGAGGTGGAACGACAGGCTTATTACCACAAATCAAGGGCACTAGAGTCCAAATTAGATGTGGAATGTCTGCTGTGCATTTCCTTGCTTCAGAACATGCCAGCCATGGTTCTGTATGTGGTGATGACTTTCTGTCACTAACTATTTTGCATCATTTAGGTTGGAAAAGACCCTTAAGATCATCAAGTCCAACCATAAACCTAACACTGCCAACTCCATCACTAAACCATGTCCCTAAGCGCCATATCTACATGTCTTTTAAATACTTCCAGGGATAAAAGTAGGAAGGAACTGTGTAGTCCTTATCTGAGAGGGATGAAGGATGAATCTCTAAGAACACCTGGAACTGCTTTACAGTGATAACAGTTTCTTTGAGGAACAGTACCTTTCTCTTTCAGGGTGTTTGATTTGTGAGGAATAAAGTTGTCATCAGGTTTAAGAGAAGTTGAGTTTTGATACCAGCTTGTCAAAAACCATTTTTGAACACAGATTATTCAGTTAACTTCCTTGCACGTTACTTTCCCTATGAAAGTAAGAAAATACATGTAGAAAATTTATGGGAATAAAATGAAAGTATCAGTGCACAGACTGAAAGATGAAAGTATAACTGCATCTTTTTCCTTTGGTAAGTTTATTTGCTTCTGAGTTGTCCATTCAGCATTATAAA